GCCCCCCGCCTGAGACTTCCTCACAATTCGCTCACAGACGAGGCTCCCGCTTCATGCTTCCTCCAAATTCAAGCCTGAGGAGCTCAAAAGTGGCGACCGTTAGAGGTTGCCGATGACCCGCTCGGATTACCAACATGAAATGCGGGACCCACAGCGAGGGCCCCCCCGCCCGAGACGTCCTCACAATTCACTCGCAGACGAGGCTCCCGCTTGATACTTCCTCCAAACTCATGCCTGAAAGCCCCAAAAGTGACGACAGTTACAGGTTGCCGAAGACCCGCTCGGATTACTAAAAAAAATGCGGGACCCATATGGAGGGGGCCCCCGCCTGAGACTTCCTCACAATTTACTCACAAACGAGGCCCCCGCTGTATACTTCCTCCAAATTCAAACCTCAGGAGCCCAAAAATGGCGACAGTTACAGGTTGCCGATGACCCGCTCGGATTACCAACATGAGATATGAGACCCATATGGAGGGCCTCCCCGCCCGAGACTTCCTCACAATTCACTCAAAAACGAGGCTTGATACTCCCTCCAAGTTCATGCTTGAGAACCCCAAAAGTGGCGACAGTTATAGGTTTCCGATGACCCGCGCGGATTACTAACATGAAATGCGGAACCCATAAGGAAGGGGGGGGGTCCGCCTGAGACTTTCTTGCACTTTACTCACAGACGAGGCTCCCGCTTGATACTTCCTCCAAATTCAGGCCTGAGCAACCCAAAAGTGACGACAGTTACAAGTTTTCCGATGACCCGCTCGGATTACCAACATGAAAGGCGGGACCCATAGGGAGGGGGCTCCCGCCTGAGACTTCCTCACAATTCACTCACAGACGAGTGAATGATAACGAAGTGATGAGTGAGTGATGATGATGAGTGAATAAGTGATGCTGATAATGATGAGTGAGTCAGTGAGTGGGTGATCGAGTGAGGATAATGGTGATGATGATGATGAGTTGTGATGATGAGTGATCGTGCGATGCTGATGGTGACTGGTGGTGGTGATGATGATGATGATGACGAAGTGATGTGTGAGCGTGTCGTGATGATGGTGCTGATGATGATGATGGTGATCGTGCGATGCTGATGATGATGATGGTGATCGTGCGATGCTGATGGTGATCATGATGATGCTGCTGATGATGATGATGATGTTGATGATGATGATGATGAGTGGGTGGTGATGGTGATGGTGATGATGATGGTGAGGAGGAGGAAGCAAGGAGGAGGAGAGGAGAGGGAGGAGGAGGAGGGGAGATCTTGCGCGGAGGGTGTGCAGAGGAAACGAGAACCCCACTTAGGATGTGGGGAACAAAAGCAAAACACATATTGCGGACTGGGAATTAAAAAAAACAACAACTTAAACACGCTATACCCATGTCGTATAAGACAACTACATGCGCGGTCCTTACGGTTCATGCGTTGCTCGAGTTTGCATGGCATTGCCTACGCATTGCATGCGGTTTCTTACTGGTTTCTTGCATATTGCATGCCCCAATCCCCTCTGCACTTTCGAACTTTGTTTGATGGCCGTTCCTGTTCCCACTCTCCTCCACGCTGCTTCAAAACTTTTCCCATGCGTCCATTCCCCCCCGAGCGTCGTTCCAAACCGTGCCCATTTCTGTTATTTCCCAACCCTCCTATGGTTGGGTACTCGTTTTGAATAGCGCAGTGTGGTCGCCCCGTCCTCCTCCTCCTCCCCTCTCCTGCCCTCCTCCTCTCCTGTTTCCTGTCTTCCCCTCTCCTCTTCTCTCGTGCCGTCGGGCTGCGATCTGCGCAACTGTCGCAACTGTCGCGGGCTCCTGGGAGGCCCAGTGGAGACGCGTCCCACGCGGACCACCTCGGGACCTTGCGGTGCCCTGGGGGCTGCGATCTGCGCAACTGTCGCCACTTTCGCGGGCTCTCGGGAGGCCCGGCGGAGGTGCGTCCCACGCGGACCACCTCGGGACCTCGCGGCGCCCTGGGGGCTGCGATCTGCGCAACTGTCGCCACTTTCGTGGGCTCCTGGGAGGCCCGGCGGAGGTGCGTCCCATGCGGACCACCTCGGGACGTCGCGGTGCCCTGGGGGCTGCGATCTGCACAACTGTCGCCATTTTGAAGGCTCCTGGGAGGCCCAGCTGAGGTGCGTCCCGCGTGGACCTCGCCGCCCCCTGGGGGGCTTGCGATCTGCGCAACTGTCGCCACTTGCGTGGGCTCCTGGGAGGCCCAGTGGAGACGCGTCCCACGCGGACCACCTCGGGACCTCGCCGCCTCCTGAGGGGCTTGCGATATGCGCAATGTTCGTCACTTTCGTAAGCTCCTGGGAGGCAGGCACGTCCCACGCGGACCACCTCGGGACCTCGCCGCCCCCTGGGGGGCTTTGGATCTGCGCAACTGTCGCCGCTTTCGTGGGCTCCTGGGAGGCCCAGCGGAGGTGGGTCCCACGCGGACCACCTCGGGACCTCGCCGCCCCCTGGGGGGCTTGCGATCTGCGCAACTGTCGCCACTTTCGTGGGCTCTCGGGAGGCCCAGCGGAGGCGCGTCCCACGTGGATCATTCGGAGGTACGTCACACGCGTTTCTTTCAACGCCCCTGTGTTTCCATTTTGTATAGTTACCGTTCCTCTTCTTGCTGCGCTCGTCTGAAATCACTGTTGGGTGCTCTTTTTGCGCACTGCGGGTCCTTCAGAATGCCAGTCAGCATTGAGTGGTCCTGAGTAGAATCGCCACATGTATGAACAGGGCTGGGTACGTCACAAAGTAATTTTCAAACTGCTTCGCGCTTCCACTTTTCGTGCCAGTCACGCCCGTACTTCCGTTCTTCCTTGAAGTCGCAGTTTTTCCGCGCTTCGAATTCCCCCCGCCCGGTCAACGGCTTGCCTGCCCGGGGCGTCGCGCGCCTAGTGCCGCGATCGCGGCGTCGTGCAGCGGCGCGCAACGCAGCGTCGCATTGCGCGCCGTAGCATAGCACCGGGAGACTTGGAGAGCAACGTCAATGGCCCGGCTACAGAGGACAAGGCCCGCCGGCTGCGCACCCTCCGCAACCGCGCCTGCCCGACGCGGGCGCTTTCGAATGCCGACTGTCGCCCAGAGGCGCGGGGGCGAAGCCGGCGCGAAACATGGGCGGGGGGCAGGTTTGAATGGCCGAAGCGCGAGAAAGAGGGCGGCGCTGCAGCGGGATCGCCGCGTCGGAAGAACGAGCAACGACGGTTTTTAAATGAAAGCCCAGCAACAACGCTAGGAGAGGACGGGCACTCTCCGGACAGAGTGAGGGGGGAGAGGGCACTTGCATTCCTATTGCGTGATGTCGCGCCATGGCATACCATTGCGTGACATCGCACAATAGGAGAGGAGGAGGAGGAGGAGGAGGAGGAGGAGGAGGAGGAGGAAGACGAGGAGGAGATGGAGGAGGAAGAGAAGGAGGAGGAGCAAGCCTCCCCAGGCGCGAGTCAGCCCCTCGCCTCAGGCCGCCGCGGGCGCGCCTGCGCCGAGCCTCCCAGGTTCGCCTTGGACTTGTCCAGGGCGTCGCTGGCGCCGAGGGAGTCGCCGCCGCCCAAGGAACGGCGGGCGCCCGCGCGAGCAGGCGAGGCGGCGCAAAACCGAGCCGTCGGCGTCGAAGAAGTCGCAATCGACCGCGAAATTGATACGTCGGTACTGTCCGCAATGATGTCCAGCGCGGCGCTCAGCATGTTACCGCGGGAAATGGCAGTCTCAGCCAGCGCAGCCCGCGCCATCTCCAGCATACTTTCGCCGACCAGGGAGGGCGGCAGCACGGCGCTGCAACGCGCGCTAAGCAGACGAAAGCCGCTCTCGATAGCGACCGCCCTCCGCGGGGTCAGCGGCGACGACGGACTCGCCCAAAACAGGAAGAACACCATTGCCTCGCAGAGATGAGCCTCGCCTCAATGATCGCGCCCGCGCCGGGTGGAAAGTCGGAGTGGTAGGCCTCGGGGGCACCCCGCATGGCATTCCAGCGTCTCTGAGGAGCGAGGTCGCCCATGCCCTTCTGGCGCAACCTCGCTGCGACGTCATCCACTGCGCGCGGATCGCGCCGTTCCCTTGCAACGGCATGCTCAGTGCAGTTGGCGCGCGACTGAGCAAGAGCAGGGGGCGGCAGCGCAGCCGCGGCCGCCCGCGGCAGAAGAAGCGACGTGGGACTACTCATCCCACGACCACGTCTCCAGGGCGAGCCGCAGACGCGCGCGAAGCACCCCCGAGGGCGCCTCGCCCATCAGCAGCAGGACCATCGGCGTCGGGGGCGCGAGGGGCAGGAACACCAATCGCCCCGAGCACCTTCTCCATCAGCATGTGGGGCGCCAGCCTGACCCACGGCAGGGAGTCGATGCGGGGGGCCGTCTTCAGCGAGCAGGTCAGCGCCATGGGGGGGTCCCCGAAGATCGTCACCAGCAACTCGAGGATTAAGGTCATCTCGCACACCGCAGGATGGTTCAACGCCATCGGCGGCAGAGCCCACAGTGTAGTCATGGGGTTAGGCGTCGCGGGGAAGGGGGGCGGCGCCTAAGGGTTGGGAAGGTCGAGGGGCGTCGTCGCGGGGAAGGACGTCGGGCGGGGGGTCGGGCTAGGGCTTCGCAAGCAGCTCCAGCAACATGAATACCCCCGCGAAGGACAGAAGCTTCCTGAGGCAGAGTACCTGGCGCAGGTGGGCGGCAGTCCGAAAATTGCCAGCCTCCCGCATGGCAATCCGAAAAGCGCCGCGCACCAGTGGCCGCCGCCAGCCCTTGGCTAGGAACGGCGGCAGCACTGTGCCGTTGACCAGCACCGCCCCGATGCCCAGCGCGGTCATGATCCACAGCAAGGTCCCGAACTCGATCCTCGAAAACGCCGAGCTCCATCTCGAAGTCTATGTCGCGCAGGAAAGAGTCATAGTCCAAGGGCATCTCGGGGCCCGTGGGGTAGTCCATGGGGCAGTAGGCGTGCGAGGCGTAGTCGGCGTTGGTGCAATTTGTGGTGTAGCTGGTGGTCGGGTCCACGGCGTGTGGGGCCACGTTGTAGAAAACGAAGGGTGCGGCAAGCAAGTGGATGAACTCACTCATCGTGTTCGTGAGCTGAACCACGCGCAGAATGAGGAGGTCGATCGAGTTCGGCACCCCCGCGGCTTGCGCAACGGAGCCGGAGGTGGGCGCCGTCATCTCAGCGAGAGCCAGTTCACTTGCTCCAGGCGGGGCTCGGTCCTCAGTCGTGCACGCCGTTCGTAGTAGCAGCTGCGACCGCGGCGGAATCAGATGCACCAGCGGCGTGCAGAGGATCGTCCACATCTGCAACCGAAATTGCCGAAAGTACACCTCCACCAGACACATCCGCAGCAAAGCAACCTCCCCGAAAGGCAACGTATTCGTCACCGTCCTGGTCCGAACCATTGGCATGGATAACAGCCTCACAACCCGCAACCACCATCGCGGCAGACCTCTGGGGACAGAAGCGACTGCCAGAAAAAGTCTTCCCCCCTCGCGGCAGGTCGTCCTTGACGCACTCCGAAAAGGCAGCGGCCAGGGTAAAGTCTTCCTCCATGACACCCTCAGCATGCACAGCAAGAAGCGGGCGATGCCGCGAACGAAGCGCACGCCTGGAGACGCGACGGGCAGCCAGGGCGGCGGAAGCAACGTCAGGAGTACCACCCGCGTCCAGGAACATGCACGCGCGATAGGGCCGCCAGAACCGCCTGCATGAGTGAAACTCGAAGCCCATCGTCTAGTTAAAAACCATATGCATGAAAAGTGCGAGTTCGAAAGCTCGCGCCGATCAACGTCACCAGCGCGGGGGCGAGCGACGACAGGAACCGCCGCCGAACGAGGGACCGCGGCAAGCGCGGCAGCAGGACGTAGAGAGCACCGCGAGGACACCGAACGAGCCAACGCTTGCTGCTTCTCCGAGGCGTCGCATGCAGACAGCACCTTGACCCTGTTGAGGATGCGGCGTCGCTTCGCATCAACACTGCGGCAGTGCGTGCCGCGCACACGTGGAGCCGATGCCGCACATCCTACCTCGAGATCACACCATCGGCCACTGGAGGCAACCGCCATCCACATCAGGTGCCCCGCGAGCACAGCCACCAACGCGGCCGATGCACGAAGGACAGGGCACTTCAGCGACATGGGAACATCGCAGCGGCCACGCGCGCGGCCGACGCCCGAGCCTTTGCCTTGAGCCTAAATTGTAACGGGAGGAGGACGAGGAGGAGGGAGGAGGACGAGGAGGAGGAACGCTGCAAACATAACGCTTAGAATCCGCTCAACGGAAAAAGGAGGAGGAGACAAAGGAGAAGGAGGAGGAAAACCAGCGTAAACCCAAGACTCAACAACGACGTTGGAATCCACCCTCCCTCCAAACTCCCTCTTCATAGGCCCCATACAACGATTTATTTCCACTGATGCGAGTGCCCCGTTGGGAGACAACAGTGAAAATCGTGGAACGCACCAAAACACGATTCTCAACGCCACGGGTCAACCTGACTGTTGCGTCTTGACGATCCTGAACCGTGCCAGAACACACAACTCCTGGGACTCCAGCAGCGCGAATTAACGTAACTGTTGCGCCCGGGCAGTCCCAAACCGCTCCAAAACGCCATTTCTAATACGCTCACCAGGAGAATCCGTGACGCTCTGGCAAATGTTGAACAGGAACCTGCGCGGCGCTACAACGGGAACCACATTTTGAAAAGGAGCCGCCCTCAGTGCGTGAAGCTCTCGCGCACGCTGAAAAACAGAGTGCGCGGCGCCAAATCGAGACACATTTTGAAAACGGACCGCCCTCAATCCGTGAAGCTCCTGCTCATGTTTGAAGCAATTGCGCGCGACGCTCAGGCTAAACCCACATTTTGAACTGCGAAGCTGCTGCCAACTTCTAAGCTTCAGGATCTTAAACCATAAGGATGTCTCAGGCGAAACGCCCGGCCTGCCCTTCCGACTGGCCTCGGCGTGCAACGGGGAAGAGTTTTTCATGAGGCAAAATGGAGGAGGAGAAGGATGTTGCAGGATGTTGCAGGCCTGACTTCCGCAGTTGCGAGGCACGCACCGCGGCGACGATTGAAGTCTCACTCACCCCAGGCCGTCCCTGTGCGAGGAAGAGAAGGAGGAGGAAAAGGAGGAGGAACATAAGGAGAAGGAGGAACAGGAGGAGGAGGAGAAGGAGAAGGAGGAGGCGAAGCAGGATGAGGAGGAGAAGAGATGGGAGAAGCCGCGTGAGCGCCGCGCCGCCCCGTGCCGAAAAGGAGATCCGCCACGGCGAGGCGGCGGAGGGAGGGCTGAGGCACACGCAGCAAGCCCGCCTCCGCACCTCCTGGGCAGCTTACGCCGTCCTCCGGAGGGAGACGGAGAGGAGCAGTTCCGCCGTCCCCCAGGGCGCCTGGGTCAGGGGCAATCGCCCGCAGGCGGGCCTGGGTTTCTAGCTTCTTCCCGGAGGGCCGTTTTGGTGGCCTCCAGGGCGGGCACGGCGCCCTTCGATGGGCCTGCGGAGCAGGAGCAGGGAGAGGATATCCCACCGAAGCCGGGCCTCGTCCCCCTCCTCCTCAGAGTCAAGGTCCTCGGTCGCCCCTCTCCATCCTCGAAGTAGGGGTCCCAAGACCGCCGTCGTCAGACCGCGCGCGACCCGTCAGGTCGCCGCTCCCATATTCCCAGGCCATGCTTGTATGTTTGCCGCGTCGAGTGCACCTCGCGCTCGCGGTCACCTCCAGTCACCCGAGTGCCTCCTCGGTGGCAGGGCCCGGGCTATGGGGTTGTCCGATAGCCGTCGTCCTCTTGGGAGCCTCCTGAGCCGCTTTGGAGGCACATGGAGACTGTTGGCCCGCATGCCGCATGATGCTCCCTTGGGCTTCTTGGGGCCCTTCTGGGGCCCTCTTTGGGGCTATCTCGTTCGCTCTCTCGGGCCCGTTGGGGATTCCTGGATCCACCTCGGCCGAGTCGCCAGCAAGGGCGTCCATCGCCTCGACATCAGCGCGCAAGGAAGAGCTGAACGTTCAACTGAGCTGGACAGGCAGTAGGGGGGCCGAGCGACGCTCCCAGTTGTTCGACAAACGTCATTGACGCCCCAAGGTCGCACAGTAACACGGCGGCAGCAGGACTCCGGATGCGTGAGAAAAACCAAACCGAACCTGGGCTGAGCTGAAGGTGGACATTGAAGCATATACACACAACATGAGTGACAACGCCTTCTGCATATACTATGGCATCGCTGTCATCGGCGGCCACCACCGGAAAACTGGGTCGCTGATGTATCTTTGTTATTTTCTCGTGACGTACGAGCTTCTGGGACGTACCCCCATGTCTAGCCCTCAGGTGGCCCAGTGATGAGAATGCTGGTGATATGAACGATAAAAAGAAACAGGGGATTGTGGTTTCCAGGCGGCAGCGCTGGAACTGTCTACAGGGTCTACATTCTTCACCAGCATGGGCCGATGCCAGCATGTTGCGGCTTACCTTGTCGGCGCTGGCTTAGAAAAACAACAAACTGGGAAAACAACAGCCCACCAGCGCGGGCCGACAACAACATACTGCGGCTTACCTTGTCGGCGCCGGCCTAGCAGAACAACATGCGACATGGGAAAACGGCAACCACCGTAGGCCGACGGTGCCGAGCGGCTTAGCGGGTGGCAACTCCTCGAATTGCGCACCTGAGAGCGGGAGCAACATCACCGTGACGTCGTCGCAATAGTCGCCGCACCCCTCCATCCACCGCTCCTGTGGAGCAACAAGATGACACAGGCGTAGCAGTCTTCGCTCCATGCCACATATTTCTAAAGCTATCCTTGTCACCTTATCGCAGTGATCACCCTTCCGAAAAGACGCGTACGGCCGCCCTGACCTGAGAAAATTCCAGAATTGTATCTAAGAACCAGCTGAAATTACACGACTCTAGCAACAGATGGGCAACTCATTGTGCAAGCATGGCGTATGCTTACACAAACACGCCAGCAATCAGGAAAGCAAGCGCGCAAACACGCAAGCGAGCAGTTACCCATCACGAAAGCAAGCGATCATGGAAGCACGCAAGCAGCCCAGCACGCAAGCGAGACAGTGATCACGCAGGCAAGCAGGCAGGCGAGCACCGTTGCAAGCAAGTCGAGCCAGAAGCAAGTAAGCAATCGCGCAAGTAAGCAATCACGACAGCGGGCAAACAATAAAGCAAATACAACACCAATGGACTAATGGCAATGACACCGCTCGGAATTCAAAGTCGCAGTCGGACTGGACCACATGCGACAACGCATTGGCAACATGGAGGTATCGCCCCCGTGGTAACTTTACCGAACCACTCTACCATTGCGACTACGAACTCGTGTCTTCTCGTTGCCCATTCAGTTCCTTCGCCAGCTTGGCCAACTCGACGGCCACAATCCATCGCGACTTGCCCTCCTTGAGCCCATCGCGCACAAAATCCGCTGCCTCGTCACTGCTGAACACATTCCAAATACCGTCGGAGGCCAGCAGCAACAGAGTTGCCTCGTCCTCACTCGTTAAAGGCCACTTCACAATCTCAGGTTCCGCGATTACTCCGTACTCCTGTCAAGGGGCTGACAAAAAACAACGCGCAACGCTGGCTCTCGAGGCTAGTAGCCTGGCCTTCAGAATCTAAGCTTCTGGGCCTTCCTTTCGGGAAGTCCCCCCTGGAATGGCTGCCCCACGGCGAAGCATCGGATGGGAAAGGGCACGCATGGTCCGCCATGTCACCAAAATCCGCGCGTATCGCGCCCCGCGATGCGCGGTGATCTTCGCGGCCTCGCTCCGCCCCCTGGACGAGTGCAGGTCCTCGGTCCAAACCACGACGCGCAAAGCACGACGACCCTCGCACCCCCACGGGCGAACTGGAGTCTGTGGCCACCGGATGCCATCCTTCACGCAGAGGTCGCCCAGCGACCGGGTCATCGCTATGCCGGGGTAAGTCTTGCCCCTGGCGTACACGCGCGCCTCCACCTCGCCTGGCATTTCCACGTCGAAGCGCACGATGTCGCCCCCGCAGCGCTCCACGCGCTCCTCCTCCGCGGGCACCTGTCTGGACCCCCCCCCCCGCGTCGATGCTCTCGAACCGCCCAGCCAAACAGAAAGGAACTGGCCGCTAGAGAGAAAACCGATGCCGGCGAGCCCGAAGCTGCGCCCCAGCTCCGCAGGGGCACGCGCTTGGGATCACATGCGCTCGGGGCTAATCCTAGGTCGGGCATGCCCCCCTACAAGCGGATTTCCGTCGAAAAATGACAAATAGTCAGACAATACAACTCAAAGATGGCCAGAAATACCTCAAACATCTTCCCCATAGTAGTTTTTTTACTATTTTTGAACATTCCTCCTGTAGAGGGACAGGCCCGAATTAAGGCTAATCAACCCAGTGCCGCTTGCACGCACAGAGCCGCGGGCGCGCGCAGAGCCACTCGCGAGCAGAACCGCGCGTGCCGCAGAGCCACGCGCGCGCGCGCCTGCAGAGAGTGGTCCGTGGTCTCGAGCCCGGCGCCCCGCCCACAGCGGGACACCAGCGTGGCGCGGGAGTCGCCCACGTGGGCGAGCCAGACGGAGGGGCTGCCTTGTCGGCGCGCAGAAATGAGGATGGGGCGAGCGGGGGGGCGGCCTTCCCCCCAGCCTAAGAAACATGACTGCCCGTGTTGGACATACGTTGACAATTCTCTGTCGTCATGTGGCTAATCCTGGACCGCGTCTACATCGCAGTGGGTGTTTGTGAGTGTTGGGATGGGGCATGCCACTCCTTGACAAAAACCTTGTTCCGATTTGTGGCCGTCGCGACCGCCGAGGCGACCGCCAAAACCGACCCGGCGCGTTGGCCCAGGGTCGGAAATCACGCAACGACTTCTGCCAGCGAGATGGAAGCACAAATGGCTGGATCCATATGTGGAACATCAGGAGGCCCCTTGCTGGATACGCATTCGGAAGGCCAGCTTGCCTGACCATACTAGACGAGCGCGTCCCTCTACTCGCAAAGTAGCTACTCGCAAATGGCCTGGACCCCCCGCGGAGGATCTAACATACATTACTTCGAAGCGGGCATGTGTTTTGCGGACGTTTGCGAGTAGGCACTTTGCGAGTGGTGGAACGCGCTCGGTGACATACGAGGGCCAGGCGCTGGAAAGACATATGGCCACATGTCATTCCGTTCCTGGCCCAGGCCTGCCACGAGCTTCCTGGCCACAGTGAGCTTTTTCGAATGTCCCATGGGTTTCCGAAAAAGGCTTCTTAGAGGGCTGGGGTATCTTCTGAGAAGCCCCTCTGCCCTCGCATGAAGCCGCCCCCATCGCGCTACCCCCCATTGGCGTGCCGCGACTGCCGGGGCGGTGCATCACGCAGGTGAAGGTGCTTCCGCAGCTCTGGAGGGACACGCTACTGTCCCTCGAGCTCTCGACGAGGTCATCCTCCACCATTTCGAAGGCACGCAGCAGGGCGGACTCCACGTCGAAAACCCCCAGCAGCATGCTGCAACCTCTTGGCGAAGCAGGACAAACATACGAACGATGCGAAGATAGTGGGAGGGGTCGGGCAAGTCCAGCCGCGCAAGCAGCGAAGGTTAAGTTCTACTACATTCCACGCGCGCATTTCTGTGGACCGAGCCTTTGGTCTGTAAGAAATACGGCATCGAACTCACAGCCCTCTGCGCAGGCCAATCCCCGCCGGTCCCATGGCCGTCGGCGCAGCAAAAACAATGCCAGCCGCTTTCGAGCATGGTCACGGAGAAGTTATCCTGGCCCAGCTTGATGTCCGACGGACCCTTGAAGCCCTTCATGTTTACGACCGCCACGCCCAATCTATCCAGCCAGAACTCCGCATCGATGCTGCTGCTGGGATACAACCTGAAGCCCCTCCGGTTGAAGGGCCTCTCGATGACGTCGGTCCCGTAGACCAATAAATCGAACATGCCTGGCTCGGGGAGCCTGGCGCAGACGTGCCAGGATCCCCCGCGGCCCCAGCAACTGAGCAGCATCTCGTGCGAGATGCCCACAATGTCCTCGAACGCCAGTGCGCCAGGAAAGCCAAAACTCCAAGCGAACAGGCTCTTGCGAAGGCCTCAAGCGCGTCAGACCTATGTTGTGAGCTTCGGTCTCTTGAAGCTTCGGCTTCCCAGGTGTGCTTGGCCCCAGAGGTCCTCAGAAGCCGTGGGCGTCGCCATGAGCTCGTCGTGGAGCCGGTGCAGTTCCGCCAGCGCCTCCGGCGGCACCACCACGCGGTCCGCGAGCGAGCTGCCGTCGGAGCGCCTGCGCAGACAGGGGGGGGGATCGGGTACGAGCGGCTCGGGAACCGCCCCGAAGTGCAGAAGCTGGAGTGGGCACAGCAGGCCACCGCCGCGATGAGATGCTCGGAAGCGCTCCAAGTATCTCGAGGGCAAGTCTCGCGCACCGCCGACCTGCATGCACCAGAACCCTGACTCCATGGTCCTAGCGTTGTGGTCCAAGCATGAGGCGTACGGATCGCACGCGTATCACGTGATAGAACCGCGCGCGCGCGCGCGCTGACCAGGCAGCACCGCACGCACGCTCGCGCAAGGACAAGCAGTTATAGCGTTGGCATCACCTCTTGTGCCTTGGTGAACTTCAGAAAGGGCCCTGTAGACTTCATAGGGCCACTGGGGGCTGTCGAGGGTCATCTGGAGGGCCATGTTGGGTCATTGTGGGCCCCTATTGTGGGCTCTCTAGCTCCTCCGAAGCCTTCCAAAAATCGTACGGAACCGAAAGACGAGCAATGCTACAACGCGCCGACACATCAATTGAGGAATCCGACGCCGTGCGTTGAGGGCAGTGGCGTGCTAGAGTGCCGGTGGACTGCGTGGTTGGTTTTCTGTACTCTTCTTCGGCACTCTCAGTGGGCTCTTTTTAAATCCCTCTTGGGGTCCTTTTAGGCATCCTTCGGGAAGCCGAAATCCTTCAAACACCTAGGAAATTCATGATTTCGGCATTATCGGGCTCTCCAAACGGGTCTCTTGGAGGCCTGGGCCTTGTGTGCCGTCGTGAAGCTATCTTGGGCCGTGTTCGAGCAACCGTGGGCCATCTTGGAGGCAGAGCGGGCGGACTTGGAGGCCTCTTGGACCATCTTGGGTCGCCTTGGATGCCAACTTCAATCGGCGAGGGCCACCTTGGAGCCATGTTTGACCGTCTTGGGGCTGCCTTGGGCCGTCTTGGAGGCTTCTTGGGCCAGCCTCGGGTCCTCTTGGGCCGTCTTGGGGCTCTCTTGGGGCTCTCTTGAGGGGCCTTTTGGGCCGTCTCGGGCCAATGTTGGAAGCCTCTCGGACCGCCTTGGGCGGTCGGAAGCAGAAGGAGGCGACCAACATCAGAGAAAAACAACTTGATAATCCATGTTCTTGGCTTCGGCGGATCCTCCTCGAGGGCCTCTTGGAAACCACTTCGGCCGTATTAGGGGCCACCTTGAGCCGTCTGGAGGCCGTCTTGGAGCCATCTTGGGCCATCCCGGGGGGCATCGTGGACGAAATGGTAGGCGTCTTGAACCCTCCAGGGCCGTCCTGGAGGCAATCTTGAACTGTCCTGGGCCAACTTGGAGGCAATCGTATCCGTACTGGAGGCATCTGGGCCGTCTTGGAAACCATGTTAAGGCCGTCTTGGGCCACCTCGATATCGTCGTGGGCCGTATCGAGGCTCACTGGGGGGGCGTCTTGTTTTATCTTAGGGCAACATTGGAGGCCTCTTGGGTCGCCATGGACGGTCGGAAACCCAGAACGCCAATATCGTTGAAAACCGTTGGAAATCAATGATGTTCGCCTCTTCGGGCCCTCCGGGAAGGCCTCCTGGAGGCATCTTGGGCTGTATCGGGGGCCTCTGGAACCGTTTTGAAGCCACCTTGGGCCGTCTTCGGGCCATCTTGGCCGTCTTGGAAGCACAGCGGACGAACTTGGAGGCCTCTTCGACCCTCTTGATTCGGGCGTCTTGGATGCCAACTTCAATCGGCGAGGGCCAACTTGGAGCCATATTTGGCCGACGACGCCGACGCCGACGCCGACGCCGACGACATCAACACATCCCTATCCTCCTCCACATGCTACTCCTCATTATGCTCCTCTTCCTATTCCTCGTCCTCCTCCTCCTCCACGTCGTGTTTCTCCCCCCATCATCCTCCTCGGCTGACGGGGCTCATGGGAATCAGACACCCCCTTCCGAACAAATGCAACTTTTGCAAGTCGTGTCGACAAACCATCCAGGGGACTTCCCTGGGCGTACTGTTTCGTCGCGGGCCCGTTTTTGACAGTCCTGGGGCCCGAAGCCGACCCCAGCAAGCCGAACACGACGAAAAAACGTAAACGACTAAACAAACAAATCGACGAAAAAAATTGAATTACCTTTTCCCAGGTAGTTTAGGCCTCATGGAATTGGTCGAGTTCCAAATGCCAGGCGAAGACTTCCGGGGGCCTTCGAAGACCTCTGAAGATCGGAGGCAGCCTTAAGGCCGTCTTGGGCCACCGTGGATCATCTTGGGCCGTTTTGGGGCTTTCTTTGGGCCCCTTGGGCTGTCCTGGGCCGATATCGGAGGCCTCCTGGGCCGCTGTGGGCGGTCTGAAGCCAGAAAGGCGAGAACGCCGACTTCTTTCAAAACGCAAAGCCTTTTGGGCCGTCTATTTTTTCATCAAAGCGCGAATCGCGCGAACCCTGATGGGCTCTCCGTTGCCGGCATGTGGACCCAAGTCAGCACCACTCGCAGAGGCAATGGGATGACAAAAGGAAAACAGCGAACTGCAAGGCAAGCGTTGCAGCGCCACACGCGGAATCAGCTCCAAATATGCTTCCGCGAAATCGTGTGGACTTCAGGCGCAAGGCAGCGAGGAGCGGAGCAAGAAGGCGCAGCGCCCTGCAAAGAGACGCTAAACAACTGACACACGGGAGAAGCTGCCATGTCCGTATGAGATTGCGCACGCGCACGCATCCAGGCGAAACAAACAATCGACTCGTTTTGCCTACATCTGCTCAAGTCTAGGCCTTGAGCTCCCCTGCAATACCTTGAAGTGCTGCGAAGCTGTTCCCGTTGCCGTGCAAAAAACAGATTGAACCGTTTGTCAACTTGCTCTGAATGGTCTTGCCCGTGTTGGTGCCGTTGACTTCGAGCGGGAGACTTCCGAGATTCATGTTGTGCAGAGACATGGACAGGATGCCAGCGTAGTCGAGAGTCACAGTAGCAGGGTTCTTCAAATAGTACTCGTTGAACCATCGATTGTCCCAGCCGCTGTAGGTAGTCCCAAGATCTGCGATCATGTCGATGAGAGCGTCGATTGTGCCCATCATGAAGCCGGAGTTGGCGTACATGTACTTGGGTGAAGAGTTGCACGGGCCGAGGCTGGGGTCGGTGCAGTTGGCGTATGTCGACTCCCAGTCATCGGGCACGCTCAAGTCCGAAAGCACGTCGGCCCTCCTGCCCTCAACCCAGCTAGAGCTAGTCATGCTATAGCTCCACCCCAGGTCAGCTGGCCAAGGACTCAGCTCCGCCGCCATCACGATCTTCTGCGAGCCGCCACTCGCGTTGACGATCCTGTTGTACTTGTAGACGATCGTGTTCTCGTCACAGCCGCCGCCGTAGAGGACATCACCGCTGGAATGGATGATGGCCAACCTGGTGCTGCCCCCCGTCCCGCGGTCAGCCCAATATTCCAGCCATTCCTTCGCAGCAGACCACCTCATCCTCTGCCACTGCCACACAGTCAGATCGCCCGCAGGGTTCGTCAAACCATTCAGGTGCTTGATCTCCTCACCTCCTTTGCCCGTGTAGCGAAAATTCGCAGGAGGCTGTGTAACCTTGAGGGAGTCTTTGACCAAGGCCCTGCCAATCAGAACATTTGGTGGGAATCCTTGGATTTCCCGTCCAGTCTGCAACGAGCTCAGGTGGATCTCAGTAGCAGCAGAATCGCTAATTGGAAACTCGCCAACGTAGCCAACATCCCTGAATGATGGCGTGTCCCTGTAGATTTCCCAAGGAATGCTCAGGAGCGCCTGCTTGTTGGAAAGCACCTCGCCCGCAAGCTCCATCATCAAATCCTCCCCCTCGCCGACAGCCCTACAGACACAAACGAAACTGACAAACGCCAGCAAGTTCATACCCGTGGCCATGGTAGCCGCACGGGGGCCTAGGCAGTGCGCTGCGGCGTCGGAAATCCGACCACGAACGAGCCCTTGAGCCAAAATGGCTACGGAAAGCCTTTTGGGCCGTCTTGGGGGCCTCTCGAGCCGTCTTGATGCAATCTTGGGCAGTCTTGGTGCCCTTTTGGGCTGTCTTGGAGACATCTTGGACGAACCTGGAGGCCTCTTGGACCCTTTTGGGCCGTCTTGAAGGCAAGATCGATTCGTCTTCGGGCCATCTTGCCTGTCTTGGAGGCCATCTTGTCCGCACTGAGGCCGTCTTAGGGCTGTCTTGGACCGTTCTGGGACCCTCTTGAAGGCCTTTTGGGGGCTGGGGGCCTCTTGTGCCAGAAAGCGACTCTGGTCCCTTGGGCCCGTCTCGAAGCGCCTCCTGGGGCCCCTTCTTGGGTTGTCTTGAAGCCATCGTGAGCGGTCTTGGACCGCTCTTGGGGCGCCTTCGGCCCTGCGGGGCCGCTCTGGTAGCTTGAGCCAGCGGGGGGAAACCCGGGAGGCCCCGCAGGGGTCCGTGAGGCCCCATAGGGGATCCAAATTTCCAGTGCAAAGGGGGAAGGAAATCCAGGAGGGTGCGCCAGCCCGGGGCCCGGGCCCCCGATACCCCAACATTCGATTTAACAATAGATGCAACACGCTCGTTGACCATTCGTACACTTGTAAGTCCGGCTGGCCGCACCGGCACACTGTCATGCAGCAACATATCTTGTGGCAGGCTCCTGCTTGATGGTAAGAAGTAGCTGCCCGATCCCGTCTCTGTCTCGTTCTCCCTGATTGCGTCCGATCGCCACTTTCCTGCTTTGTCTTCACTTCGGGGGGCTGGCGAAGCTTCCATGACGCCCCCAAGCCTCCTCTTGGGGGGCTCCACTCCGCCGTTCTCCAGGACCCCGTCCGTGAGAAGCCCACGAAGCCGCGAGATGCCCAAAACCATCACTGCTCAAGGGGGACCGCAGACGACTCAAGACGGCCGCACGACGGCCTTAATTCTGCCCTAAGACATCCCCCCCAAAATACACGAAATGGGCCCTGAGGTTCTCCCAAACTGTGCATCCCACGGAGTTTTAGCTGGCAAGTGTTGCCAATGTGGCCCCCCTGTCGGGCCGAGCACGTGGGAACACCCAAAGAGTTTCACC